CATTAAAACATCATGATATCAAAACGAAAAATATTTAATTCAACCTTAAAATTTATTACTAAAGTGTTTTAAAGTAGAACATAAATAAACAAAAACCAGCTCACAAGTGAAGTTCGTGCTTCGATATGAGAACGGCAGAACACGGAATAGGAAAAGATAAAATAAACAAAAAATTTCTTAATAAAAGCACACGCATATAAGGTACATATGGATGCACATACATACATATGTTCATATGCATTTATATACATACATACATATGTACATCTCATCCATATTTTCTCACGCGGTTTAAGTAAATACATACATATGTATGTAGACATTGATGTAGCGTTTTTCTCTTACTTGAGTTGTTTCATATGCCAAACATGTAAACATACTTGATTCTATATTTATACAGATTTTCAATCGGCTAAATAGGTACAATAAAATCGAAAAAGAATAAATATTTAGAAATTTCGCCGAATTAGCACAGCGGAGTGTATTTGTATTTGAACCAATTTTAAGTGCTGAAGACTTGAAACACTTTACTTTAAAAGGTTTTAACTTTAAAATTCCTAAGCGCTATTCATAAACACGCGGAGAGTTTAATTTAAAAGACTTATCCCAGCTTCACCAATCAATTTTAATATTTATCAGACTGTTAAAGTTAAAAACTCACGCGAACCGCAGTAAAGGCACCAACAATTTTAAACGTTTTATCCAGAATTTGTTGGAAAAATCTTGTGTATGCAGTTTTATAGCCGATTAAATTTATAAAGTATGTATGCTCGACAATTTTAGCAAAAAATAACTGTATTAAAAATCAAGGCGATTTTCTAGCGTCTTGAAATATGCGCTTGAACCTACTAAAATTTAATGTGCTAAAAAACCGCATTCCAAAAATGTACCCGAAAGTTCGGAATAAAAAGTTTAAAATATTTGGGTGCGATTGTTAAAGTTTAAATGTAGATTTATGTGGCGCTGGATATGCAATGTAATAAAAATCTATATAAAAAATATAAGCATCAAATAAACAATAAAGAAATATAGCAAAAACTGGTCAAAACGGGTTACGGATATAGACTTTCGTAGTCATAAAGTAGGGGGTGCCACGCCCGATTCTTATAACAGTTGTATTTATTGTTAAGAGATTATGCAAGTCTCAATTATTGAAGTATCGAAGTTTTCGTATTTCTAAAGTTTACCGTTATTCAGGAAGCGGAAGTAATTTTAGTACGATTTGAATCATTTTCAACGAATTGCTTTACCGTATCAAGGTTATTAAGTGCACCGAGTTTGGTAGAAATTGATAAAAGATTGGTCATAAAGGGCGGCGTCACGCCCATTATCCAAAAATTTATAATAATATAATTTTCTAAGTGACACAGACAGACAGACATGGCTTAATCGACTTCTCTATTCCTTCTGAGCATTTAGGTATAAAATTGTCTATATCTATCTCGATTCGACTGTTACAAACAACCGTTATGTGAACAAAGTTAAGAGCGTGTCAGACGTGGCAATATATTTCTTATGCAATATATGTATTTCGAAAAGGTTGTAAAATTGAGAAATTTCAGAAAGCAGTTGCATGAACAGTCACATCTTGCATTTAAAGTGTCTTTTGAAAGAACAGCAAATTGCGTGGAAAAGTGCACAAGTGCGCTCGGGTATAACAATAGTATGGTGGATGAATGTTCATATGACCAAATTCGCAAAGCTTTTCCATCGCCATTGGGATGTTTTCTACCGTCGTTGAAATGATAAAGAGACACTACAATTAAATATCTCAATCGCCTACTTAACCCACGGTGGATTGATTACTCTTTCTATTCATCCGCTTCATTTTTTTTCGAAATTCCTCTAATCATCAGATAACATTGCGTTTTCATTGTGGAGAGCGGAAAATATTGCCAACTAATTCTCACACTCGGATCATTCAAATCACCAAGTAAACATGTTTGATCTCAACAATAACAATGTATGCATATGCGCACACACAGGCGTTTCTCTTGTTGACTTTTACTTGTGGGGAGCCAAAGAGATGCTGTTACTTACAGTGACGAGCAAAACTGTAACATGATGTAACACTTTTTATTTCAGCCACCGCTATCTTTCAAAGTTCTAACGACTTTCATACTTTTGTTGTATATTATTATTGGTACACCCCTATTCCCACTCTCATAACGATTTGAAGTCAATCCAATAACAATAAAAAAACCTGGAGACAAAAATGTAAGTTAAGGCAAATGTTACAGTTTTGCACTCACTCTCAGTTTTGCATTTTATAGTTATCTTTGGCTTACTTGGAAGCCAGATGACTTTTTTCTGTATTGTAATTTATTCAAGAAGTGATCACCAATAAATAATACGGTTAATCAGGAAACATAAATGTAAATAATAGATTTACTGCAGAAAGGCGGGACCGCAGGGAAAGTGGCGAAAAATTGTGGAGTTTGACACATGGAAATGTTAAGACTGAGAAAAAATATAGCCTAAAGTGTTAATAAGGACAAAGGAAGTCTGTCAAAATATATTACAGTCCGATATCTTGTGAACTTAGGAGCAGTAGCGCTGCAGCCACTACTACAGAAGCGCTTAAGGTATTAAAATTGAGCGCAAATCAGTATACAGTGAGGCGAAAAGTTGCCAAATTGAGCGCAATGGATCATAAAAGAATAAAAAAGCAAATTTGATCAAAATACATGTGCGAGTGTGGCAGCGTTTTGCTGCATCGCAAGAAAACCGGACCGTTGCCTATTGGGATATGTTAGGCCTTACAGAATGCAATAAAAAACAAATTTTTAAGATTTAATTGAGGGTTATTTGGTCTGACAAGCCTAAATTAATCGCTTTCAATCAGATGGCCGGGCATGGTATTGGATCAAAGGCCCAAATTAAGCCTAAGCGCATCATGTAAAGCAAACAGTGAATCACAGTGGTCGGTCAATAATAGTTTGGGGTTGTATTTCAAAAATGTGGTTGATCCGTTTGTACACATTATGCGTAAGGAACAGTATCTGTTCATATTTCAACAAAATTTGCAAGATGTAGTCGAAAAAATTAGAGTTTCTGCTGAAGAATCATCCAAAACACACTGCACATGTTCGCAAAGACTGGAACAAAAGCAAAAATTTGCTAACTTGAAATTACCTCTAAAATCCGAGGACATGAATCTCATCGAGAATTTGCGAAATCAACTAAAAGCGCAGCTTACTAAGTATCCAAGTCCGTCCAATGGAGTACATGAGCTGTGAAAGCAAACCAAGGATATATGGGAGGCTATACCTCCAGAATTTTTACAGAGATACACATTAGGTATGCCAAATTGCAACCAGGAACTAAAAAAAGCAAAAGCATACTGAACATTGTGTTAATAATTCTTTTTTTTCGTGAAAATTCTCAAAAAGTTATTAAAAATGTATGAGTGCAAAACTGTAACATTTGCCTTAATTTACATTTTCGTTAGCTGGTTTTGTTAATGTTGTTGAATTGACTTCAAATCGTTATGACAGAGGAAGCAAAGATGTACCAATAAAAATATACAACAACAGTATGAATGTCGTTGGAACTTGGAAATATAGCGACGGCTGAAATAAAAAGTGTTATATTACATTTACATTGGACCAAAATGCGTGATTTGAAATCAGTCATTTGAAGGTGTTTACACTGCTTGATCCGCATTTGCTTTGACTTCTCATCAAATGAAAAGGGAAGACAAAAACAAAATGTATGTAAACAAACACTACATTTATTATATTGTTAACGCTTTTTGGACACAAACAGGCAATTATTCTTTGATTAAACTAAAAATGTATAAAGCTCTTGTATAAATTAACAATTTTTACACACAAATTTCAAAGATTTATTTATTTCGTTGTGTTTGATTTGTGTTTGAAAAATTCCAAATGTCAAAGACAAACCAAAGCTTTTGTGGAACTTTTGTTTCTGAGTGCGTTCAATAAAATAGTACGGCAATTGGAACGCATTTGTTTCGTGATTTTGTGTAAATGCGTCGAAATGCGTCATTCTGGAAATGTGAATTTGTATGGAGAAATGCGTGATTTGGCCTCGCATTTGAGGCTTCTCGCCCAAATGACGCATTTGGGCTCAATGTAAATGTAATATTACTACATGTTACAGTTTTGCTCGTCACTGTACATATACATACATAAGCCAAAGAAAATCCAACTTCAACTGATTATTGTTGTCACCAACGCTGACGCGTCACTCGAACTTGGCTGTTTAGCCACCGCACCGGGCGGCTGACTGTGTGACATATTTGTCATTTTAGTGCAACTAGCAGCGTGCATCGATTCCTGTTCCATATCTGCTTAATTATCAGCAACACAAGTGTGAGAAATTAGCAACAATTGGGACTTGAATTTTCGGTTTTCTTATTTTACAACCTTACCCATATTAATGCTGTGCAGTTGTGTTTATTGTTTTATTAGGGTCCTTTGCATCGCGTGCTTCTTCGCATATTTTGAAAATTTACAGACGCTGCTGGTCGGCGCTGCTTTAGTCACGTTTTTCCTCAAAACAAACGCTTCATTTTATTGCTGAATGCAGCGCGGCAAGCTGTTAGCTCGCCAGGTATACATACATACATGCATACATATAAATTATGGAAAACCCGTACGTGCTTTCCACAACATTTTTCCAATTTTCAGCGAAATGTGTCAATATGTGTGTGGCAACTAGGCGCGCGAGAAGTTAGCAAGGTGAAAAAGACATTCAAAGGACTAAGTTGATTGTGAAGCGGCGACTTATACCTGTACTACTTGACTGCTATGGAAAAGCGTTTCTCAAATTTGTCGTCCTGATTAGCTGCCGCACACATGCACTCGTCTCATTCCGCTCACATATTTTCTTTTCAAAACCGCACGTACATACGCTCCACATACACACATATGACATGTTGGTCTATTGTTATTCAACAGTGCTAAATTTGCCCTAATTCTAATCCTAATTGTACTACTATTTGTTAATGCGATTTTTTCCATTTTATCTTGCAGGTATTTAATTTCCACTGTGTTGCTGTGAGAGCATTTGAAGCATTTGAAGCATACAATCAAGTGCGTATCAGCCGCCTACCAGACAGCAGAGTGAGCGTGCGATCTCGCCTGCCACACAGGCCCCAAACAGCCAGCACACAGGGCCGAGTGCATTTAATTGCCATTTAGATTGCCTTGCTAGCTGTAGACGAACGCGAAAAAGCTGTGCTCTTGTGGATATGACTTTGCCGGAAAATATGTGTCAATTCGCATTCATAAATAGCCGCATTCAAAAGCAGTGCTGGCAAAAGGTTTAACAGCCGCCTTAGCTGCCGCATATTAATTATTATAAACATAAATATATGAAGTGGAAATTTAAGCGCAACAATTAACTAACTACATACTTGGCTTTACTTGTGCCAGAAATAATAAGCAATTAAAACCACTAGGAGTGCAACAACAGCGCAGACCAGTGCAAAATTCATACAAATAACAATAATTATAATTATTACAATGCAAAAGCAACTGCAAAAATGTACAACTAAAAGCGTATTCGCCATTCAAACGCTAATTAGCTGCGGCACGTTATGCCTGCTGCCTCTGCTGGTGCTAGTGCTGCCGCATGCCGTGCACGCTTGGATGCCCGATGTGCGCCCAGATTTGCAGCCGAGTAAGTTTGCTGCTGCTAGTGCAGTTGATTAACATTTCCGTTCTTAAGACAATTTTAAATGTATTTAATTTTGTAATTTGCATTTCTGTATCTTCTCTGTCGGCGTAGAGCAAGATAAAATCATTGCCAAGTTCCTGGGCAACAGCACGGATTACTTTAAAATATTGGCCTATGACGATGCTACCATACTTGTGGGCGCTAAGTAAGTATGCCAGCTATTTCAACTCGATAACGTTTTCCTAACGTCGCCGCTTTTTCCCTTGCCTCTCGCATCACCCTACAGAGATATTATGTACAACATAAGCTTGGATGGTTTACGAGAAATCAGCCGGTTGGAATGGTTCTCTTCTGATGCTGATCGCGAACTATGTGCACTGAAGGGTAAACGTGAGACTGATTGCCACAACTACATACGCGTTTTTGCACGCCTCGATGATGCGCAGCTCTTGTTGTGTGGCACCAATTCGTACAAGCCGCGCTGTCGCCACTATGCGCCCACCACAAGTGAACTGAGCGCAGCCGCTGGTTCCGGCCAACGATATGAGATTGTACGCGATGTCGAAGCGCAAGGGCTTTGCCCATATAGTCCGGCACACAATAGCACCTACGCCTTTGCGGAGGGACAACTTTATAGCGCCACAGTGGCTGACTTCTCGGGCAGTGATCCATTGATTTATCGCGAGAATTTGCGCACCGAGCAGTATGATTTGAAACAGTTGAATCAGCCTGATTTCGTGGGTGCTCTAGAGCGTGATCGTTATATAATGTTCTTCTTCCGTGAAATTTCAATGGAGTACATGAATTTCGGCAAGGTGAGTGATTTTGAGGAATGTGGGCTTAGTGACCGTGCCAGAAGCTGTGGTTCTTAGATTCGGTCGGACGACACAAAATTTGTATATATGTATGTATGTATGTATGTACATATGTAAGGATTGACTACAGTCTCGTTCTTTGCACTTTTTATGTTGATGTGTTATTAATGGTCCAAAAAATAGCTAAAAATTTTACACAGCATTTTCGAAAATATCTGGGAGTTGATTATCTACCCTGTGTGGAGATCAAATTGTCATAAATTGTCTTCTTGGAAGTTGATATCATTATGTGGAAACCCCTTATCCCTCTTCCTCGATTAATATTTCAATTAAAATTCTTTTTTTTTTTTTGTTTCAACCAGACAATCTACTCACGAGTTGCACGCGTCTGTAAGAACGATCGCGGCGGTCCCTACACACTCTCCAAGAGTTGGACATCATTTTTGAAAGCACGTCTAAATTGCTCAGTACCTGGAGAGTTTCCTTTTTACTTTGATGAAATTCGTAAGTATAATGCTGAACACTTTCACTACATATTTTCTTCATACTCAATATGTTTTCTCTTCTCTATTTCCCGAAACAGAGGCTATTTCTCCTATAGTTGAAAGCGGCGTCAATTCACTCATCTACGCTGTTTTCACAACATCCGTAAATGCTATACCCGGCTCCGCAGTATGCGCTTTCAATGTGAACGATATCTTGGATGCTTTTGAGGGCACCTTCAAGTCACAAAAGGACAGCCAATCACAATGGCTACCCATACAAGAAGAACAAGTGCCTGAACCGCGTCCGGGCAAGTGCGTTGAAGATTCGCGAATGCTATCCAGTATTGCAGTGAATTTTGCTAAAAATCACCCTCTAATGGAAACTGCTGTACCCGCTGTCTATAGTCGCCCATTGCTCACCAAAGTCAACCTGCATCACCGACTCACCACAATAGCAATCGATGCACACATTATGGCGCTCAATGGCGAATTCTATGATGTGATCTATTCCGGCACAGATGATGGTCGCATAACGAAATTCATTAATATACCCACACCGAGTCAGGCAGGAGGCTCCAGCGCTGGAGTTGACAAATTGAAAACCGTATTGATATCAGAAATGCAAGTTTTGCCACAGGGAGTGGCAGTGCGGGAGCTGCTTGTATTTTCGAAAACCAATCGTCTATTGGTGGTTAGCGATGGCAGTTTGGTTACTGTGCCACTACATCATTGCGCCCACATCGTTGACTGTCTCGGCTGTTTGAGTCTACAGGATCCGAACTGTGCTTGGGATCAGCAGAATCATGAGTGCAAGAGACTTGTGGCAAAGAATATCAAATTCGGCACCAAAGCGTTTCTGCAGAGCCTGAATACTACTAAGAAAGCGGCAGCTTCTTTATGCCCAAAATATACGCGTGGCACACTCATGGCTGATGGTCCGAATATTGCAGGTGGTGTGATTGCAAACGCAGGCATTGATTTAGTAACGGCACAGCAGCCACAAGCGGATGAGGAAATGAGTAAGAAGTTCCATTATACCAAAGTTGGAGTGAGTACAGGTAATAGCGTTCCGTCTGATGGTGGTGCTGCGGCGGTAGCCGAAAGTAGTGTTACTACATTAGAAGTACCCATTGGCAGTGGTGGCGATTTGGATGCTAGCACAGGCGCAGGCAATGATTATTTGTTGAACAGCTTCAGCGATGAGAATAAAATAACGCTGCATTCGGTGGACCCCGATGAACTGATGAATACGTTGAGTGGTGAGTGGCAAAAAAATAATTGAAAATTCTCAGTGGCTAAAATTTCAGCAAATTATGATAAAAAGTCGCATGCGATATTTTTATCTTTCTCTTCTATGGATGATGCAATGCAGTTATTCGTTCTGAGTCAGCTTAATTTCGGCTATTCATAACCTGAAATAAATTTTTTTTTTGTTTTTAGATCCTTTACAATCTCAAGCCAGCTTAAATGAGAAGAAACTCAAGGTAGCCGGCAAAAGTTTATATTGGGCGCTCGCTCTCATCGCCTTCGTTGTGGGCATTATCGTTGGTCATTACACCTCAAAGCGCATTTGTAAAACCGCATCGCTGCACGCAAGCCATCGCAATCAATTCACCTCGAATTCGTAAGTTTTCCTAAAATTTTACTCAATATTTCAAGCCTCGTAGTTCTCTAACCTAACGCTCTTTTTTCATATCTCTACTTTAAGACAATTCGGCGTAAAGCATCACAATACCGGCAAAGATATTAATCTACTAATGAATCCGAACCATTTTTGCAGTCAGAAAAAACCCAATCTCGACTTAGAGAAGGATCGCAGTCATGAATGCAAAAATTCAACAGAGAATCTAGAAAAAGAAATACCCTGCAAGACGTCCACGTTAACGAAGGTTAAACGCACATATATATAATGTATAGTTTACTTGCAATGCATTGCAAAGCATTGCGTTGCATTTATAAAAAAATAACTAGTGGAATTTTTTTATAGGTTAGTTATGTTTAATAACTTTTTTATTTTTTAAGCAAATTTTGTTGAAAGCATGCGCATATATGCAGTATGTATGTGTGAAAAGTGAAGTGTCAAGCGCTGAAAGTGTTGCAAGAATGTGTGTGTGTGTGAGCTTTTTTTAGTTTAGGCAAAATTACAATAAAACGAAAGAGGTTTATGCATAACAGGAATATACTATTGGTGTATGTAAACTTGAGCCGTCTAAATGCATGCAGACATGAGCTATGCCCAGCAGGAGGAGGAGTAGATATGCCTGATATGTGCAAGTGCGGTATGAACAAGCTCACTTCACTTTAAATGAAAATGAGTGATTTTTATAAGCGTATGGCGCCTTTTAATTAGCGCCTGCAAGCCGCCTTACAGCGTACGTATTCACTACCTCCCCGCTGAGCGCATAGCTGCTGCTTTTGCGAGTCTTAATTTTAAAAAATTTTCTTAGTCGCTTAGTTTATATATAAGTTTAGTTAGTTAATGTGGATTTAGCAAGCGGTAAGCCGCTTTTTTACTTTACAAGAAAATATAACAACTAAGTACAAATGTAATTGCAAGTCAGTAGTGAGACCGCGTTAGCATGTATTTTGCTAAGAGAAAAATGTAATAAATACTTTAAATATATACTAACGCAAGCGAATTTAGCGGGACGCTTAACGTCGGTGGATTTGTAGAAAAATTCCCACAACTGCGGTAAATTACCACAATCGCGTTCCTGCGAATATCAGCTAACTGCGCTTAACATTTTTCTCTAACCGCAAAAGCATTTCCGGCTGCGCCCTCTACGCCTGCGTATAAACATATCAAATATCTAAGTATGTACAATTTATATTTACATTTTCTAATGAGATTTCAAATCGCTTCTTCCTCGAAATAAAAGAAAAAAAGGCTATAGTAGTGTCAGTGCCTGCAGTTCAAGGCAGCAGCCAGTAAACACAACTTCCTCTTGGCTATGAAGTTTATATTCGCCGCCTCGTCACTGCATGCCAGACGACACTACCTAGCGAAACTCAAATAAATAACAAAATAAAAAACTATACGCACAAAATGCGAATACATGCAGTAAAATAAAGATAAAAATAGCAGTTACAAATAACTTAATAATATTGCAAAAGCAAACAAGTATTAATGTAATTAGACTGAACGGTTTACGAACAAAAGCAATATGCCGGCGGTGACGACGATGTCAAGTATTTTTCTATGTTAAGTCGGTAGTACAAGATAGAAAGCAGGAAAACACGAAAGCTAGTTGCAAATCGTATGCCTAGACTGTGGTTTTCTGCCCTCTTCGCTCAGTGAGTGCTTGGCTAGATTGTTTCGTCCGTATATGTTTCGCGCAATCATCTTCATTATTATCGTCAAAGCGCGCGTGCGTGCACATTTCCTCCCATATGTACTTTTGATTGGTCTTGACATTCATGATGCATGTACACAGATTTTATCATCTTCATTCTTTTTCGAGTACCTTAACAATTGTACTTTTATACTTTGACTGAATTACTACATTTTGCATCTACACGCATTCATATTTCGCTTTATTTGTCGCTTTCTCTTTCTTCTACACACATTCCCAACTGAGTTGATACGCCGCCTGGCACGCGTAAGCCCATTTGAAGCACAACAAACACTTGAGACAATTGTATTCTATTGAATGGGTTACACATTGAAGGTTGTTACACTGCAGGAAAAGTATTGTGTTTAATAGCGGCTTGATTGTATAGTGGCTAAGTGCTAAAAAGTGAGAGTTATCTATTTTTGTGGCATGATGCTATAAATTGATTGCAATGGATTTAAATGAATTGTTTCACCAAAAATTTCCTTTAAAACGAATTGTTAGGAAATATAGACTTAGGAGGCTTGAACTTTGTCCCATGGGTATTCAAGGTTTTAGCGGTATTTTCCTTCGGATTTTATGCTTCAAAAATTATCGAACACTATCTTTCTTTTATAACTTTTTTGTGAGTTTTACGTCTTTTTATACGCTTTGCAACTTGTTCTGCTCGTCTAGGCTTACTGGCACTTTGTTCTGCATTAAAAATAAATGTTATTGAAATGCAAATGTTGGTTTGCCACCTCTATAATTTTTTAATGCAAATTAAATTTTTGACGATCAAATGATTTTGCTAAACTTTCCTGCAGTGTGCCCATCCTTCCCAACAGGAAAATGTGCACATCATTTTACTCATAATTTTCAATAAAAAAAAAGAAGTCGGTTATTCATTAATACTCCATAGTTTGCTTTTCCAACCTAACTCGAATAATTTTCTATGAAACTCATACATTAACTAATAGCAAGTAACATATACTAACCTAATTACAAACAAATAAACAAAAACCATAAAAGAAGCTCAATTAGTTAGGAAAGGATTTGCATTGGTAAAGGTAATAATTAACAAACAAAAAACAGGGTGCGTGCAAAGGCGCTAATGAATATAAATTTAAGAAAACAGTTTTAACGAAATTTTATACATATATGTATTATGCGAATTTATGAATTTAAAATAATAACTGAAAAATTGTTGCCTTCGAAAATTATCGTTAATTGAAAATTTAAAGGACTGTGGATATTAAAAATTCTAAAAATTTAAATTTACGTATTATCAACAAAAAAATAAAACAATTATTGACAATTTATTTAAGTAATTAACGCAATGCTTTGCGGCACCCTATATAAACAAACTGCATACAAATCTTTAAATTTGCATAAATAGCCTTAAAAATCGAATGATTAACTCGAACAATTAATTAACATATACATACATGATTTTCTTGTACTGGCGTACTAGTTATTTAGTTAGTCCGTCCGTTTAAGGAATATTCTTAATAAATATTTACAATATATTTTATACAACTATACATAAAATAAAAGTAATTATGGAAGCTAGTTTGTAAGTGATAAGAGAAGGAAATTATGTGAGCGTAAGCGTATATTTGGCGATTGTGTAAAATATATACATATATACATACATAAACATTTTTTCTATAGCTTAATTATTTTAATGTTTAATAATATGTGTACGAATAATTAGTTTTTATACACTCTCACATATTCGTATGGACATATCGCTCATTTACTTCGAAAGTGTCATAACTCAAAAGAGCAAAACTCGAGATAAACGACTTTAAAGTTTTGAATTTATATACATATTCTCCCATAGCTATGCAATTTTCAACCAGCATAGAAGAGGTAGCGGTAATTTTAATTTTTGTATTGTCTAAGTAAATGAGCGATATGTATGTGAAACAAAGTCGGGTCGACGATTATCGTTTTAATATATCTCTAAATTAGTGTTTAGTGTATCACTTTTAAACAAAACAAAAAAATTGTGATAGATTTTTAAAAAAATTGTTTTTCAACATGCGAATTGTATATGCGATCGATGGTTAAAGAAACGCGAGCGTTGGGGGTCTTCCTTAAGTTTCTAAAGCCAAGCAAAAACCGTAAAACGATCTTGATTTGCTCGTTGTTGGAAGTGAATTTTTTCCTTTGAAATTTAAAATAAAGTGCTTTTTTTAAAAAAAAAGAATTAAACGCCTTTTTAATGGATGAAAAAGGTTATTGGAAAACTTTCCGCGCAATGCCGCTGGAGTGGCCTACGGGCCATACGGGTCATCGGTCATACGGGTAAGTTAAACATGTCTAATGTAGAAATAAGAGGCAATCAGATGACTGGCGAACGAATGGCTTGGATACTTAGTAAAAGAAGAGCGTTCAGATTTTTTCAAATATAAGTGTAGAAATATTAATCAGGCAGGTTCTGCAATTCACTTTCGAGCGAAGTTGAATTCTAACCAGTGTAGGTTTACTGCAAAAATGTTCTATGGATGCCGCTATCCTATTCTTATGTAGAATTGCTCGGTGATTCCAAAAATCGAGTATTTTTTTTTTCTATGGATACGTTTTCTAGATATTTTCAATTTACCGTTATTCAGCTAAAAGCAAAAATTGGATCCTTTTAGTCATGTATATCTTACGAACCAATTTAACAATATTAATATAAATAAAGTACGGCAAATGAAATTTTCCATAAATCGTATATACATCACTTTCCGATAGAGCTTATAGTTTCTGAACAATTATGGAATGATTAATTGTTTTAATTTAATTTCTTTTAATTAAAAAAAATCTAATTTTAACAGAAGAAAAATTTAAAAAATAACAGTTTCTTTGCCAAATGTTTGCATTTGTGCTAAAGCCTGTTCTGTTACAAAAAAAGAAAAAAATCAAATTACTAATGAGGAAAATCGATGGATAAATAAGAAATAATGAGTGGTCGAATGAAAATACGCAGATTTTTTTGTATGAAAAATGAGCAGGAAAGAAAGTTACTCATACGCAACGTACACCTGAGTAACACGCTTTTCTGCTCATATTTCATACAAAAAATCTTTGCGCATTTTCATTTAACCACTCAATAGTTCTTATTTATCCATCGATTTTCTCCAACGGTAACTTTATTTTTTTTTTTAACACAACAGACTTTAGTACAAAATCCAAAAATTTATTTTTAAAATTTTTCTTCTGTTAAAGTTTGATTTTTTTTTCATTAACAATAAAAAAACTGGAATGATTAATTAATTTGTCAGAAACTATCAGTCCTATCGGAAAGTGATGTATGTATATATACATACATATATGGTTTATGGAGAATTTTATTGGCTTTGATTAGACTTATCTCCTTTTAAGATTATTAAATTGGTTTGTGAGATATACGTGATTAAATGGAACCACTTTTTGTTTTAAGCCGAATAACGGTAAATTGCAAACATCTCGAAAAAGTTTCCATAGAAAAAAAATCAACTCGATTTTCGGAATCGCCGAGTAATTCTACATATAAATTAGATAGTGGCGTTTGGAGAACAAAAACCAAACTAAAATTTGTGATCCAGTGTTATCAGGGGTTGAAATTCACTCGGAAGTGAATTGCAGAACCTGCGCGAATGACTTAGGTTGTAGCATCGATCTGGTGATGTTAGAGAGGTATTGGAATGTACGACTCACGTCGAATTCTGAATAAAAAAATACCCCCGCTAATCATTCGGATATTTTATGTTCTCTAACCTTAAAGTGCACTTTAATACTACGTTAATGGGTTTTATAAGAACAAGAGAGTGAAAAAAGTCGATTTTTTTAGCGGGTTCTACGCCATCTTGTTTTACTGGAAAACGAGCGAAAAGTAAACAAAGCAAAGAAAACAACGAAAACCAAAATTATTGTCAGCCACTTTAAACGCACAATTTAGGTAAATAGTTAGTCTGTTCCAATAGCAGTCCGGTTTACAGGATTTAGTCAGAACT